AGCAACAGCAATGAATGCATCCCTCTGTCATCAAGCACTTACTGAGCACCTACTGTGTGGCAGGGACTGTTGTAGATGCTGGACACAAAGAAAAACAAACAGACAAGAATCTGCTTGGAACACTGAATTCAAACTCCAATGCTGCTGTGTGCACACCTGTAGTATCAGCAACTCGGGAGGCTGAGGCAGGAGGATCGAAGGTTTGAGGCTGGCTTCAGCAACCTAGCAAGGCCTTGTCTCAAAATAGGGCTGGGGTGCAGCTTGGTGATAGAGGGCCCCTGGGGTCAATCCCCGGGACCACAAAAAGAAAAAAAAAAAACCTATAATACCATTTTCAGTAATGAAAAAAATGAAACATTTAAGTGAATCATAAAAAAACATGCATAGGACTTATATATACTAAAGGTGACAAAATTCTGATGAAAGACATCAAAGGAGACTTAAAAGCAAAGAGAGCTACTGTGTTCGTGGATGGGAATGCTCAAGAGACGCCCATCCACTCCGTACTGATAAATGGGTTTAATGTGATTCCTATCAAAACACAGGCAGGATTCTTTCTAGATTGCTCTAAAGTTTACTGCAGAGCTAAAGGATCTAGCATAGGAATAGAATAAAGTGGGAGGGTGAGGCTCCCTGACTCCAAGGCTTAGTGGACACACGGTAATGATGAAGACGGAGAGCAGGGGACAGACGCAGGGACTCACCCCCGACTGACTCTTGAAAAAAGTCAATTCCTGCTAAGGAAGGCCGGGGGATTCCACAGCAGGAGGACAGTAACCTCCAACCAATGGCACCAGAACATTCGGACATCGGTGGGCAGAAGGGACAGACTGCACACGGGTCCCAGACTTTCATAGAGACTGCAGAACCCTGAAACCGGGCGCACCCCTGCCGTCCCAGCCACTCAGGAGACAGGGGCAGGAGGATTGGGAGTTCAAGCCCAGCCTGGGCAACTTCATGAGGCCCTGTCCAAAACAGACAGACGGCTGAAAACCTCTTAGAAAAGGAAAAAAATGACTGACGGACTGTCGGTGGGGCAACAGGAACTCTTAACTCTACAAGGGTGTGAAAGCCACATGCACCGAGTGGAGATGGTACTTTGAATCTTGATCTCTTTCCCAGTCAGTGATGGGGTGCAGTGCTTTCTCTCCCCGCCCCCCGCCTCTCATGCTGGCCACCGAGCCCAGGGCCTCATGCACACTAGGCAAGGGCTCCACCCCTGAGCTCTATCCCAACTCCCAGGGACCATGTCTCCAAGAAGCCGGGCAGTGGCAGCCGCTGCAGCTCCCCGTCTCCACGTGACCACCGACACCCTGTAGCGGGCCGTGTTGCTGGGCTGTGGTGTCCAGTGGTAGATGGACCAAATGCATTTTTGACTTGTGATGTTTTCAGTCTGTTCATAAGTTTGTTGGACAGATCTCCATGGGAAGTAGAGGAACATCTGTTTAGAAGAAAAAATCTTTGAGATCAAGGGCTACGCAAACAGCTCTTAGACTCGACACCAAGATCACAAGTCACGAAAGGAAAAAAAAAAAGGTAAATTGGATGTCATCAGTATTCATATTTTTGTTCCATGAAAGACCCCAATAAGAGAACGAAAGACAAGATTGGGAGAAAATGTTTGCAAACCACATATAATGAAGGAGCAGTATCTGGAATGTCTCTATAGGTTTAACATCTCAAAATTGAAACACTGGGAGCAGGAAGACCATCGTGCACACCTGTGATCCCAGCAGCTCACTCAGGAGGCTGGGGCAGGAGGATGGCAAGTTCAAAGCCAGCCCCACCACTTAGCCGGGCCCTGAGCAACTCAGCGAGACCCTTTCTCACAATAAAAAAATAAATAAAAGGGGCTGGAGCAGTAGTAGTACTATTACTGCTACTACTAATAATAATGACACAAATAAGTGAAATAAAGACAACACTCTAATTAGAAAACAGACAAGGACAAGAAGAGACATTTCACCTAAGAGGCTACAAAGGAGCCCACGTCCGATATGTTAACGATCATTAGCCACTGGAAAAATGCACATGAAGACAACAATGAGATCTCACCACACACCTATCAGAATGATCAAAACAAAAAACTGACAACACCAAATGCTGAGGAAGATGCTGATAAACCGGTCACTCCTGCATTGCCGGTGGGAGTGGCAGTGGTGCAGCTGCTCTCCACCATGTTTCTCTCCTGAAGAAAGAACTGGATGCAAGAGGCAGAGTCCTAAATGAGGTTCAAGACTCAGATTCCAGACCTTTCCCCAGCCTTTCAGGATTTTCATTTTCTTTCTTTTTTCCAGGGTCTCCCACATGCTATTACTGGGTTACACCCCCAGGACTTCTTTTATTATTATTATTATTTGTTTGTTTTTTGGCACTGGGGATTGAACCCAGGGGCGCTCAACCACTGAAACACATCCCCAGCCCCTTTTTGCACTTTATTCAGAGACAGGGTCTCACTGAGTTGCTAAGCGCCTGGCTTTTCCTGAGGCTGCCTTTGAACTTGCGATCCTCCTATGTCAGCCTCCCAAGCCTCTGGGATGACAGGTGCCCGGCAGCACTTCCTGTTTTATTACAAAATATTTAAGACTTACAAAAGAATATTAGAAGTGCACACATGAGTCATGCATGTTAATGGTAAATGAATATTTATAAACCCCTTCAGCCAGTTAAACTCAGAACATGGCGATGCCGGGAGCCACCTTTGGGCCCTTCTTGATTCCATTCACCTGGTGCCCGGGCAGCCAGCTGGCACACGGCTTTATTTATTATCCCAGTGCTTCTCTGTTTGGTTTAATTATACAGGAGTGGGTAGTTTGATTGCTGTTAACGCTTACCAAAATGCCACCTTAGGCTACGCAGACTTCTGCAACTTGACGTTGGAACTCAATGTCATGTCCCCAGATCTGTTAAAATCTGCCATGGAATGAGGAGGGCCGGGGGTTTATTGGCAGGTGAAACCTGGGAGAGCTACAGAGGAGGTGAGATCTGGCAGGGAAAACCTGACACTGGGATGCAGAGGGGACACATCTGGAAAGGAATGGGGATTAGTGCCACCAGGAAGGGAGAGAAGCAGAAATCGTCTGTGGCTTCTCTGGTCTTGGCTTCGGAATGGAGGCGGATTCTGCAGGTGCTGTGGCTGGAAGCGAACTGTACCTCCTGAAGCTAAGTGGCATGTTCTCTTTTGGAGGGGCATCCAAGTGGCGTCCTTCCAAGGATGCCAGAGTTCTAAGATTAATCCACATTGAGAAGTGTAGCCAGACGCAGTGGCGCACGCCTTGAAATCTGAGATACCTGGGAGGCTGGGGCCGGAGGATCATGAGTTCAGGCCAGCAACTTGGCTTTGCCTCAAAACAAAAATGGAGCCGGGTGCTGTGATGCACGCCTGTCATCCCAGGGGGTCTGGAGGCTGAGGCAGGAGGATCACAAGTTCAAAGCCAGCCTCAGCAATTTAGCAAGACCCTATTTCAAAACAAAACAAAACAAACAAACAAAATAAAACAACAACAACAAACTGGAGATGTGGCCCAGAGGTTGAGCACCCCTGGGTTCAGTCCCCAGTACCAGGAAAAAAAAAAAAAAGCTGTTCATTAATTTTCTTTACTTTTTTTAATATTTATTTTTTAGCTTTAGGTATCTAGGTGGGTGGACACAATATCTTTATTTTACATTGATGTGGTGCTGAGGATTGAACCCAGTGCCTCATGCATGCTGGACGAGTGCTCTACCACCTAGCCACAGCCCCAGCCCTCATTCATTCTCTTACTGCATAGTTTCCCAGACCCCATTTCCTTTATCCATCCAGTTGGTGGCTCTTAGGGTGGTTTCTAATTTCTCGTTGTCACCAACAATGCTCCAAAGTACATTCTTGTGCCGGCTTCAGTGCACAGGTGCTGGAGTCTCCATTGATATATCTTAGAGGGAGAGTTTCTGGCTCATAGAGTCTGCATCTATTGGACTTCCAAGGTAATGCCAGAAGCTTCCCCTCGACTCCTTAACACGTTTTCACGGCACCCACCGTTCCCCTTCCACTTAGGCTAGCTCAAGAGGGTTTCTGTTGCTTGCAATCAAAATGAGTTCTAACCTACCTAGGCCCATCAAAGAAACGCCTTCTGGATGACATCTCTCTCTGGGACATTCCTCCCAAGAGGTCCCCACCCTGACAGTAGTCACCTGCAGAGTGCAAGTCGAAATCTCATTGCCACTGCAACAGCAACAAGAGGCGGAACTACAAGAGGTGACTGGGTCACGGGCCGCCACCTTCAGGATGGATGAAGGCTGTCCCTAGCCCGGGAGGGGGCTCCCGCTGAGTTCCCTGGACGGTCCTGCTCCCACGCATGCGCCTTTCCGGACAGGCGAGAGGCCACGCCCTCCACGCGCTCTGTGGCCTCGGGTGGGCGCTCCCTGCAGAGCTGGCCAGAGCCCTGGACTCCCCAGCTCTGGAACTGGAAGAAATAAATCTCCCTTCTGTGTGGACTCTGCGGTCCCAAGGACGCGGTCACAGTGGCCGAGAATGGAAACCACCACCAAAGGCGGTGATGGCGGATGTGACACAGTCACGACCAGTGTCCTTAGAGACACACCCGGTGCAGACCCGAGCCCAGGAGGAGGCCACCGTCCTGCTGACCTGACCCGGACACAGCCCCCCCGGGCAGCTTGTTCCTTGTTACTGTTGGTCGTGTTTAAATCAGCGGCTGGGAAATGGCCCAGGACGTGCCGCCGAAAGTGTCCCTCGTGATCCCCATTTGTTCCTTGAGGTTCTCCCTCTCCCCCTTTCTCACTGTCCCCCGCCCCCACCGTCTCTGTCAGTCACAGTCAGACACAGGGTGCAGTCACTTAGACAAACAAGGTCAATGTCACGGGCAAATTGTTTACTTTTCACAATGTGCATAAAAATCACAAGAATAAACATCTTTGGGGACTTTACAACCAAATACCTTTGGAGGCCGCGATCGAAGGGCCTCATGATATCTAAGGGGCTGGGACATGCAGCAGGGTGTGGGTCAGACGCACAGGTGTCCACTGGCCACACACTTTAGGTCGCGCATCAGCAGGCGGAGGAGGTTGAAGGTGACAGAGGCCTCGAGGCAGGCGGGGGACTCCTGTGGGGACCAGGGGCTCAGTGGCTGCCATGGCCAGGGCCAGCTGCTCCAGCCTCCGTCCTCTGACACCCACTCACCTTCTCGGGGGCCTGCTGCAGCCTCTGCAGCCAGTGGGACAGGCGGTGGCGGTGGCGACCCTGGGGCCTGGGGCCTGCTGTGGGCTGAGCCAGGGCCTGTGGGCAGAGGAGGGCGTGTGAAGTGGGCCTGGGCACAGGGGACGTGCGGGTGTCACAGCCATGACCCAGCCGCCCAGGACCCCAGGACTCACACAGGCCTGCAGCTGGGACTGGATGTGGCCCAGCGTGTGAAGGGGCTGGTCCAGGACGTCCCCCAGGGTCGAGTTGGCCATGGTCCCCAGGACCCGCAGCGTCAGGGCCAGCTCTGCCTGCAAGGCCACAGGGCGCTCCCACACCTGAGGGGGACAGAGACAGTGAGAGGTCTCCCTGAGAGAGCTGGGAGGGGACAGGGAGGGAGGGCAGGGAGAGGAGGGGGAGGGGCAGGGAGAGGGCACAGCAGGCAGGCAGGCAGGACTGGGGAGGGACAGTGGGCAGGGAGGGAGAGGGACCGGTGAGAAGGACAGGGTCCCTGGGAGGCGCTGAGTGGGCCCCGGAGGCCAGGCTGGCCTGGCTCTGCCAGCTCACCTGCAGCTGCCGCAGGTCCCAGGGCCTGGGGAAGAGCGGGGAGCGGCACTCGAGGTCCTTGAGCAAGTGGGACTCCTCCTGGGGAGCAAGGGCACAGGTTAGCCCACACTGGAGGGCGAAGGTTAGCCTACACAATAGGGGCCCAGGGAGCCTCATGAAGGGGTCCTTCACCCTCTCAAAGCCTCACCTTCACCTCCCCCAGCTTCCTTCCTGGCTCCTGGGCCTCTTCCCCAAGAGGAGGCTGCAGCTGTCCCAGGCTCAGGGTCTCACACTTGCTCTCCTAGGGCATCTCTGACCTCAGTCTCCTCTTCTAGATCTCAGCCTCAAAATGCCAGCATTTTTTAATTGATTTTATTTTTTAAATACATAACAGAGGAATGCATTACAATTCTTATTACACATATAGAGCACAGTTTTTCATATCTCTGTTTGTATATAAAGTATGTTCACACCAATTCATGTCTTCATACATGTACTTTGGATAATGATGTCCATCACATTCCACCTTTATTGCTGACCCCCCCCCTTCCTCCCTTCCCCGCCCACCCCTCTGCCCTATCTAGAGTTCATCTAATCCTCATCTAATGCTCCCCCTCCCTACCGCACTATGAGTCAGACTCCTTATTATCAGAGAAAACATTCGGCATTTTTTTTTTTTTTTTGGATTGGCTAACTTCACTTAGCATTATCTTCTGTAACTCCATCCATTTCCCTGCAAATGCCATGATCTTATTCTCCTTTACTGCTGAGTAATATTCCATTGTGTATATTTGCCACATTTTTTAATCCATTCATCTACTGAAGGGCATCTAGGTTGGCTCCACAGTTTAGCTGTTGTGAATCGTGCCGCTATAAACACTGATGTGGCTGTGTCCCTGTGGTATGCTGTTTCTAAGTCCTTCTGACTGATGGTTTGAATTGATTTTAGGAACCTGGTAAAATCCTGTGTGTAAATCATCACAAGGAGCATGCAGTCCAACACACCTCACAGCAATCCTACCAGAGAAACGTTAGGAGCAGCTCTATTAAAACTAAGAAACAGAAAAAAAAAAAAATGCCAGCACTTCCCGCTCCACCCAGGCTGTCACCCCCGCCCGAGCTCCTGGGCGTCGGGCCAGGAGGGCACACCCCGCCGCCGCTGCAGGAAACGCGCCCACACTGCGGGCACCGGGAGCCTGGGGCCGGGGAAGCCCGGGGCGGGGCCGGGGAGCCCTGGGAAAGGGAAACCGACCCAGGTTCCGAGTTCTCCCACCGGAAGGCGACTTCCTGAGCGGGACGATTCCTGGCAGCTCCAGGTGGGTCCAAGAGGCCGGCCCGCCGGTGCGGGGCAGGTGTGGGAGGGGCTTGTTCTGGCCACGCCCACACGGGGGGCGGTGAGCAGGTACTGTCTTGGGGGAGAGGTTGTTGGAGGCTCCTAAGGGGAGGCTGCTTAGGGGAAGGGAGACCACCCAGAGGGAGGAGTGCTGTGGGATGGGAGGACAGAGAGAGTTAATAAGCCAAAGATAGAACTAAAGAAAATTAAGAGGGTAAGATGCGGCCCGCAGGCCTGTAACCCAGACCGGGAGGCTGACGGAGGAGGCTCACAAGCTCCAGACCAGCCTCAGCACCGAAGCAGGACGGCCTCAAAACACAACAGTGCAAAGGCTGGGGATGCAGCTCAGTGGTAAAGCCCCCTGGGTTCAATCCCCTGAACCAAGATAACAATTATCAAGAACATAGAGAATTGAAGGATTTGATCAGTGCGGGCCCATTCAGGTCCTGAAACATCTCACCGAACTGCATTCATAGGAACACTTGATACACGTTACTCGAAAAGAAAAGAAAGTGTGAAGATGGGAAGTTCATTGATTGGATCTGAGTGTGCACCGAGCAACAGGGACTTGTGATTGTTACTAAACGTATGGACCACAAAGTTTATTATCAGATGGTCACTCGTGAACCTGTGGGCCCGGTGTGATCTGCAGAGGGTGAAATCAAGGAAACATTTCTACCTGTTAATTCCATTTATAATTTGTTTTCTTCTTTCTTTAAAAATTCTCCTTCTTTCAATGTGCTTATTGGCCTCTGAGTGATAGCAAAGCTTCTTCTGGGTAAATTGTGGTCAGGTGTGGACATCCAGTTTCACTTAAAGCCTTTTGGGGTTCAACCCTCTTTTTTTCTTTGTTCAGAATTATTTTAGTGTTATTTTAGCCAGGCATGGTGGCGCATGCCTGTAATCCCAGCAACTGGGGAGGCTGAGACAGGAGGACACAAGTTTGAGGCTAGCCTCAGCATAAGTGAGGTTCTATCTCAAAATAAAATTTTAAAAGGTGGTGGTGGGGGAGATGGAGATGTAACTCAATGGTAAAGCACCCCTGGGTTCAATCCCCAATACCAAAAAAAAATTATTTTAAAACTGTACACATTTGGGGGGGGGGGATACAGTGTGATAATTGGATACAAGGATACGGTGTCAATATCCAGGCTTTAAAAATTATTCTTGTCAATTGTGAGCGTGCATCAGAATAATAAATAGTCAAAAACTTTTACACACACACAAATGAAAGGACAGCCCCCCACATCTGATACCAATGGGGAGACAGTAATGAAAGTGTCACAGGGGAGTTCAGGTGCAGCTAAAGCCTTTGAAGGACCCCGTTGACTGTGACCAACCCTTTCCTCTATTTAGCCCATCATTGGTCCAGGAAGTATTTATGGGGCGTTTACTGTGGGTGGAAACTTCTAGACATCCCGGATCTACCAAGAACAAAAGTCACGAAGACTATGCCTGCCCCTCCTGGAGGTGTTCTAGTGGGAGGGCCAGACGATAGCAAAACAATGAATAATAACAACGAAGTCCGTTGCAAGAAGTGCTTTGGAGAAAAATTAAGCGGGAGATGGAGTGGGGTGTGCAGAGGGAGCCACGTGCTGTGAGACGGTTGCAGAAGGTGACATCATCACAGATAGAGGGACCGTCAGTGCCAAGGGAGCACGTGAGGGGCCCCTCACCGGCCCTGCCCGTCCTGACATTCCCACACATAAGACAGAATCCGCAGTGCACCACGCCTGCCACCCCAGCAGCCCGGGAGGCTGAGGCAGGAGGATTGCGGAGTTCAAAGCCAGCCTCAGTGAAAGTGAGGCCCCTCAGCAACGCAATGAGACCCTGTCTCCAAATTAAAAACAAAAAGGGCTGGGGTGTGGCTCAGTGGTGAAGGGCCCCTGAGCTCAATCCTTGGTACCTACGCCCTAAAAAAGATGGAGAGTCCTCTTCACACTTTGAAGGTGGGAACTGGGCTTCCTGTTGCCTTGACAGTGAGGGATTGGCGAGGAGACCTGGCTGAGCCTGCGCAGCAGGGACGCGCTGAGGGAGGCGGAGCTCGTCTCACACCTGTTCTCACCTGCACCTCCTCCTTCAGAGGTGTGGGGTTTCCTGAGGACACTTGGCTGGGTTCTCTGTCACCTGACTCTTGCACATCTCAGGAGTCCCCTGAGGGGACACAGGGGCTGACTTTTCTTGTCCACCCAATCCCCTACCCTCCCTCCTCGTCCTAGATATGGAGACCAGTATTGGCCACTGTTATGGTGTGGAATTCCGTGGTCCCCAGGGCAGCAGTGTTCCGAGGGGCTTTGGGGGAGAGATGTCATCCGTGGATTAGTCCACGGGTGGATTCATGGTCTAATGGACTTTGGGGAGGTAGAGGAAATTGTGGGAGGTGGGGCGCAGCTGGAGGTGTGCCCTGAAGGATATGTCTTGTCCCCAGTGCTCTCTCTCTCTCTCTCCCTCTCTCTCTCACACTCTCTCCTTTCTGACCACTGCGCTCCCCACCATGATGGTCAGCCTCACCACAGCCCAGAGACAATGGAGCCCAGTGACCTTGGACCGCAGCCTCTGGAATGTGAACCCAAATAACTCTTTGCTCCCCTAAGCTGGTTCATTTTGTCACAACTGTGGAAAGCTGAGGATGACTGCCCCCAAACTGAAGATTCCCTCTCCTCTCATCCTCTGGGCTCCCTGTGGCCGCGTGACTTCCCCCTCCCCAGGACCTAGCCTTGAAACACAGGCAGGTGGCCCTGCTCTGTTGGAATCAGGACCTGCCTGAGGGGCAGACTTTCCTGTGCAGATGAGGACAGACCCAGAGCAGGGCAGAACAATCCAGGGTGGGATGTGGTTTGGAAGGGCAGGAAAAAAAAAAAAAGAAAAAAAAATATATATATATATATATATTCATTCACTTCAACCTAAAATTTGACATTTCCTGTCTGTATTAGTCTCTTACGGCTGCTATAACAAAACAGCATAAACAGTGTGTAGAACAACTCAAAATGGGCAACGATGAATGGATCAGCCAAAGGTGTGCATCCAACTCAGTCCTGGGAAGCGAAAAAAAACAGTCACCAAAGGACAAATACAACGTGACCACACTTACAGGAAGTCCATAAAGAGGTCACATGCAGAGAGACACAGCAGGATGGTAGTTGCCAAGGTGAGGAGGAGTGGGGGGGCAGGGCTGGAGATTTGGTTTAGCGGGATGGACAGGGCCGGGCAGTTGTAGCTCCACAGGGTGAATCTGCTTCAAACAGCTGAACTGGAGGCCTTGAAGTGGTTAAGATGGCAGACATGGGGTATATTGGCTACAGTAGGACAGGACTGGGGGTGCAGCTCAGTGGTAGGGCACTTGCTTAGCACGAGAGAGGCCTGGAGTTGATCCCCAGCAACACAAAACCAATGCACAAATATGTAAATGGAAATTATTTAATCAAAAGGAACAGGAATAGGGACAAACCGACCAGCCAGTGCCTCAAAAGCCAAGGAATTCTGAAGGTCAGACATCTGAACTCAAGGTTGGGGGGCCAGTTCCTTCGGGGTCCCCGAGACAGGGTTCACCTTTTCAGCTCTGAGACTCCTGCGTTCCAGGCTCCTCATGGCTCCCTCACGTCACTGCACCCTCCTGCTCCGCTTGTCACCCCTCCTGGAGGGACACTAGCCTCCTGTCTCCCCTGATGAGGCCCTCAGTGAGGGCACTGGACAGCCCAGACGTCCTGTCCCCATGGCCTTCCCTTCATGTCACCTGCAAGTCCCTCTGCCAGGCGGGGCTACACATCCTCAGGGCCCAGGAGTTAGGGCCGTGGGTGGGGCCACCATTCAGGCCACCACACACCGTCACAACGCGGGCATCCAGCCACAGGAGCGCCAGCAGACCTGTGACTGTCACCCGAGGGCCTCCCGCACACTCACTTCTGCCCCTTCAGGTCCCTTTAGCTCATCTCACTCCTGAGCACGGTGGTTGTTACGGCAGCCAGGTGACTCCGCCATGCCACGCAGTGACGAAGAAGCTCGTGGACAATGACATCACGGCGGGAAACGTCCTGATGCCAATGTTACGTGGCCCCGGGTGGCTCCGTCCTGGGCGCCTTCTCCTGCTGAGGAGGATCGGGCTCCGCCAGGCGCTGAGGCCCTGAGCCAGGACGCTGCAGCCCTGTCCTGGGGACTCGGAGCAGGACCGCAGGGAGCCCGGCCGGACACACAGAGTCCTCCTGTCCCTCTCTGACCTCCTGTCCAGGTGGAGGGCACAGGGCCCCGCTCCTGCCTTCTGCCATGTCCTGGTGTCTCGGTGACCTGCTCGGCTGGCGGTCCCCACCAGCGGGGCGGCCCTGGGCCTGGGCCGGGGCAGCGGGTCCGCAGCCGGGCTCTTGTTGGCTTGGACAATTTAGAGATCCTTGTAAGAAACAGAGAAGAGAAATATTTTACTTTCCTGTTTTTATAAAAATAAGCAATTATGGGAATATATGGAGAGGGTCACCCCCAGGCCTGGGGAGGGACAGCGCCAGGGCAGGCCACATGGGCCACCTGCTGCTCCACCCAGGTCCCTTCCTCAGGACCCCACCACACCCCCGTGTCCAGTGCTCGGGGCTCCTGGGGACATTCTTTCTGGGGAAAGGGAAGGACAGGGAGCCACAGGCAAGTGCCTCGCCTCAATCTAGTCCCTTCCGAGTGGACAGCCCATGGCCAGTGTCAGCTGCCACCAAGGGACTAGAGCCCCTGAAACGGCTGCAGGAGGGACAGCTCTGGGGCCGCCCAGTGCCAGAGCTCCTCAGTGGGGGGGAAGGACCCGGCTGCACTTGGGGGAACCTTGGACCCTCTGCTGTGGCCCCTCACGTCCCTGCAAGGTGTCCCCTGAAACCGCCTCCTCAGAGGTGCCCCTCAGCGCTCCCAGGAGCCAGGCCTCGGCCTTCCTCCCCAAAGAGGTCCCAGTGGACTTGGCTCTGAGCCTCAGGAACAGGATCACTGGCTGCTGGGCTGGCCGTGGGGACCCGCGCATGGAGACAGGTGGAGAATGCAGGTTCCTGCCGTGCTCAGTGGCGCAATGGAGAGAGCCGTCACCCTGGTGGCAGGGGTGGGACGCTGGCAAGAGGAGGCTGCGAGGGACAGAATCCCTGGTGCCGGAGAAACTCGGGGAAACGGAGCAAGGACCCTGGGACCCGATGGCTCTGGCCGAGACGCTGATTCTCAGAGACACTGAGAGGCTCAGGAGATGCAGTGCCATCACGTCAGAGGGACCCCAGGTCCGTGCTGGTCCTAGAGGAAGAGGACACGGGAGAGCGTCTTCAGAGCGGTAGAGCCCCACGAAGGGTGACTCCCAGCCACCAGGGCCCCTGCCCCTGAGGGACTGGAGAACTGCCTTGGGGACA